CCTCTCTCTCTCTCTGACTCATCTCTACGTGGAGGACACCCAGCTCCATCTGTCCTCCACCCTCTCTCTACATGGAGGACACCCAGCTCCATCTGTCCTCCACCCTCTCTCTCTCTGACTCATCTCTACGTGGAGGACACCCAGCTCCATCTGTCCTCCACCCTCTCTCTCTCTGACTCATCTCTACGTGGAGGACACCCAGCTCCATCTGTCCTCCACCCTCTCTCTCTCTGACTCATCTCTACGTGGAGGACACCCAGCTCCATCTGTCCTCCACCCTCTCTCTCTCTGACTCATCTCTACGTGGAGGACACCAAGCTCCATCTGTCCTCCACCCTCTCTCTCTCTCTGACTGCTTACAGGAAATCAGATCCAGGTTCTCCAACAACTTCCTCAAACTAACAGTGATCAAACCGAGGTTCTCCTCATTGGCACCAGCCCACCCTCACTAGACCGTGAAAGGCGGCTTTATAAATAAAATGTATGATTATGATCACCAACAGAAGGAGAAGACGCTGCGTTCACAGCTCTAACAGCGAGACTGAAAGAGATCAGAGTTAGGGTTTACATGAAGCTCTCAGTTCACAAAGACTCATTGAGGCTCCGCAGCGGCCTACATGTGGGAGGTCAGCCTCTCCATGAGCTTATTAAAGTTATATATATCTATATCTCGTACCGGCGTACATGTGGAAGGTCAGCCTCTCGATGAGCTTCAGCACCGTGCCGGCCTTCACCACGGGGATGCCGGCCTGGTTCTGCGTGTTCTCCTCGAACAGGACGTTCTGCTGGGAGTCGGGCCAGGCGAAGCGGTACCGGTCGGGCCCGGGCGGCAGCAGCGCCTCGTCCTGCTGCAGCAGTGCAGAGTCCAGCAGGCGCTCCAGAGTGCTGCGGTACTGCAGGGAGATCAGCGCGGCCATCCAGCCGCTCTTCTCCTCCGCGGACTTGGCGGAGAACACCACGCTGTTGCCGTCCTTCAGGAGGATCTCGAAGGCGTGCCGGTACTCGCCCTCCTTGTCCTCCTTGTCGTGGATCTGGACTTTGCGCATGAAGAACTTCTCCTTCAGCCGGTACTCGGCCGGCGAGCCATGGTTGGACTTGCAGCAGACCATCAGGCCGTCGAACAGGAAGACGTGGCGCTCGTGCTTGGCGCCCACGCGGGTCAGCGTGCCCTCCATGATGAACTCACTGCAGCTCTGACCGATGTCCTTCCCTTCCCAGCCCTCAATGCTCCTCTGGATCTCACTCATCTTCCTCATCGCCAGGTGCCTCCCCTTCATCTGATGGCTGTAGAACCGACACGCTGACTCACTGAGGAGGAGGAAGAGGAGGAGGAGGAAGAGGAGGAAGAGGAAGAGGAGGAAGAGGAAGAGGAAGAGTTCATCAGGACTATACATGATCTCAGTTCTGGTCAAACATGAATTTCCCATTGATTGTAAAGTGGAACAATAACTCTGATTGTAAAGCTCCCTGCAGATCATTTCTCAGAAGAGAGAGATATTCTCTTCTGAGTCAGAGTGGGTGATCTCTTAAAGGACCAGTGGATCAAGAACTCGCTAGAATATCAATCAGTGCACAAAGCAACACCAATCATCAGAACCTTCCATTAGAGATGAGGTTATTCTGATGTCTGTTAGACGTGTTCGTCTCTATCATCAGAACCTTCCATTAGAGATGAGGTTATTCTGATGTCTGTTAGACGTGTTCGTCTCTATCATCAGAACCTTCCATTAGAGATGAGGTTATTCTGATGTCTGTTAGACGTGTTCGTCTCAATCATCAGAACCTTCCATTAGAGATGAGGTTATTCTGATGTCTGTTAGACGTGTTCGTCTCAATCATCAGAACCTTCCATTAGAGATGAGGTTATTCTGATGCCTGTTAGACGTGTTCGTCTCAATCATCAGAACCTTCCATTAGAGATGAGGTTATTCTGATGTCTGTTAGACGTGTTCGTCTCTATCATCAGAACCTTCCATTAGAGATGAGGTTATTCTGATGTCTGTTAGACGTGTTCGTCTCAATCATCAGAACCTTCCATTAGAGATGAGGTTATTCTGATGCCTGTTAGACGTGTTCGTCTCTATCATCAGAACCTTCCATTAGTGATGAGGTTATTCTGATGCCTGTTAGACGTGTTGGTCTCA